AAATGTTTAAATTTTACTTTATCATGGAACATATTATTTTCTCCATCTGTGTTAATTCAAAGCTTTGCTGAGAATAGTAACCTAGGTTGGCATCTGTAGTCTCTTAGAGTCTAAACACCTTTGTTTAGCCACTCTCAACTTTTAGAGTCTTCATTGAGAAGTCAAGTGTAATCCTATTAGGTCTGCCTTTATATGTTATTTGGGTTTTTTTCCCTTGCAGCTTTTAATATTCTTTCTTTATTCTATATGTTTAGTGTTTTGATAGTATGTGGCAAGGAGACTTTCTTTTCTGGTTCAATCTATTTGGTGTTCTGTATGATTTTTGTATCTTTATAGGCATCTCCTTTAGGTTAAAGATTTTTTCTTCTATAATTTTGTTGAAAATATTTTCTGAGCTTTTGAGTTGGGTTTCTCCTCCTTCCTCTATACCTATTATTCTTGAGTTTGGTCTTTTCTTAGTGTTCCAGATTTCTTGGGTGTTTGGTGTCAGGTGTCTTTTTAGATTTAGTATTTTATTTGACAGGTGAATCCATTTCTTCTATTGTATCTTCAGTGCCTGAGATTCTCTCTTCCCTCTGTTGTATTCTGTTGATGAAGTTTGTCTCTGTAGTTCCTGTTCAAATTCCAAAATTTTTTGTTTCCAGAATTCCCTCAGTTTGAGTTTTCTTTATTGATTCTGTTTCCAATTTTAGGTCTTTAACAGTTTTATTTATTTCCATCTGCTGTTTGTCTGTATTTTCCTGGATTTCTTTTTTTACTAACAACTCTTGGATTTATTCAAAGCAATTCATTTTCAAAACTGAAGTTACCGCAGTCAGAAAAAAAAGCCAGAACACACAATCAGTTTGCCTGTCCTTGTGTTTGACACTGTGGTGGCTTTATTCAAAATACAGTTGCACAAAAGCAGTAATTTCAGTCTCTAAGGACTTAATGTGCTGTGTACACAGGCAGTCCAGAGTATTAAAACCAAATTCAGAACTACAGAACGAGGAGCCCACTGTTGCTCATTTGCATGAAAACACCACCCACAAAGCTAAATTAGTCTTAATAGTTATTTGTTTTTAAACCCATGAACTCTAATTCTGATTGCACAATAGATGATTGATTTTAAAAAGTCAATATATAGATTTTCTTTCTCTAAGGGATTTCTTTATCTTCTCCTTAAGGAACTTTATCATATTCATAAAAGCTGTTTTGCAGGTTTCTTTTTCTTGTGTTTAAGTTATGTTGAAATATTTAAGTCCTGCTGTGTTTGCATAGCTGGGCTCTAGTAGAGGCACTGATTGTATTTTTATTCGGGCATCTAGGCCTCTGAGTTGGGAATGAGTATAGGTTTAGGTGCTGATTTCTGGGTTTGTCTTTGTTGGGTAGATACTTTGTTCCTTGTCTTCTATTTCCTCTCTGGTTATGTATTGCCTCTTCTCCTGGCCTGTTTAGCTGGTGCATTTATATTGAATACCTACTAGTGTTTGCGGCTGTAATACTGGGATGAGTTGAGGAAAGGAAGGTTGAGGGAGAAAGTCTTTTTGATCTGTTGGTAATGGGTTCAGAGAAGAAAGGAAGATTATATCAGGCTTCCAGTTACAGAGCTGGTGATGAGCTGAGGGATTGGATCTCAGGAGCAGTAGGAGAGGTGTGGATCTGCCTTCAGACTACTTGTTGCCCCAGAAGGAGCAACCCTTTGATCAGTAGGGGATAACTTGAATTGGGGTTTGAGACAAAGCAACAAGAGGGAAGAGGAAGGTTAGAAGGAAAAGGAAGGTTTACCTATTGTAAATAGGGCAGCAATGAATAGTCAACTCATTGGCATATGCCCCCAAACCTGCTATTCCACTCCAAAAATACTTGTAATTTTTTTTGTAACAAGCTTTAATCATGTACCCTGGGTTGGCCTGGAACACGTGTCAATCCTCCCACCTCTGTCCTTGAGGGTTAAGTTTGCAAGCAAGTTTTGGATTATAGCATGTGCCAACTTTGTCCCTCATCCAACCCCTTCCTCCTGTATTTACATTCCTTCTCCCTCCCCTTCTGAACCCTCAATTTATAATTATTTATTTAAAATATTATTTCTATGTATTCTCTGGAAGTTTTGTGGATGTATATAATGTAATTTGGCCATACCCACTTTCACTGTCTCTCCCTAACCATCCCCAAACACTCCAAAACATTGTCCTCCCAATTTTGTGTCCTTATGTTTTTTTATAAATCTGAGTTTAGTCAATGCTGCTCATGGGTTCACTTGTGTGGGGCGTCTACTAGATCATTGGCAACTGCCCATACTTCCAAAAAACTCTGACTTTCTATTTCCCAGCATTCAGAAAGTTCCAGCAGCTCCTAAACTTTGTAAGCTGTCCTAAATTCATGCTGCAATTTTATGTAGGGCACCAATGCATGTAGGGTACCAATGCATGTAACCACAGTAGCTGTGAGTTAATGATACTCCACATCCAATACAAGAATTTTCAGTTTTTTTCCTTTCCAGACTCAATGTTATTGTTATTACAAACTTCTTTTTTATATATATATTTTAACCTCATATAATACTGTTTTTCACAGTTCAGTGTTTATTAAAGATATTTAAATAATGTGAAGTTTACTTTTCATTATTGTGACAAAAATCCTTAGGAAATCAACTGAAAAGAGGAAAAATTGTCTTTTAATCACAGTTTCAAAGGATGCAATGTGTGATCACTGGTGCCATTAGTTCGGGTGTGTTCTGAGGTTCAAACACTGAGGTGAGAGCATGGAGCAGAGCAAAAGTGTTCTTGTCATATGGTTGAGAAAGAAAGGGGGACATGAAGAAAGAAGAGAGACAGGGGTACATAGAAGGAGAGATAGAGAAAGACACACCCTGTAATGGCATGCCCCAGTAGCCTAAATCTTTCAAAAAAGGCTGCAGTTCCTAAAGAATGTATCACCTTTTGATGACACGAGAATTTATCACCTTTTTAAATAGCATTATCAACTGGGGACCAAGTCTTCATTTAACACATGATTCTTTAGGGGTCATTTGAGATTCAAATCACAACTAGCAAGAATACATGGTCTACTTATCTGTGCAGTAACGTTCGTCTTGCCTATGGTCTAACAATTCGCCTAGAGGATTTCCCTAAATGCTTCTTGTAGTGTGGATCTGCTGAGAAGAAATTCCCTTAGCTTTTGTACATGTTATAGTTATGTCTTTTTAATATCATGAACAAATCTCATATGTATATTATATTCTTTGCTTTTTCTTAGTTTTTCCAATTTTTTTTTACTGATTATAAAATCCTGATGTGATTTTTCTGGGGTGCATCTTAGTGTTTTAAATGCATTACTTTAGTCTTTCTTGGACTGACTGTTTTCTTATAAATCTTATCTTCATATTAACTATTTTGTGCCAAACATATCTTGTTTCCTTTGGCTATTTTAAGATTTTGTTTATAACATTGATTGTATACTTTATTTAAATTTTACTACAGAGTATAAATTTCTTATTTTTGGATTTCATTGATCTTCTTTGTCATGTGAATAAATTATTTTAATCTTCTTCAGAATTTATTAAAGGTATTAATTCTTCGAGTATTTTTCTCTCTTTACTTGGGTACTTCCATTACATACAAATTATGATATTCAGTATTACTTTATTTAGAGGTGCTCTATCATTTAAATTTTTATTATATGTCCTTTTATGATTTTTTACTACCTTAAAGTTCACTAATTTTTCCTTATATAATATCTACTAATAATATGTCCCAGTGTATTTTTATCTCAAGCATTTCAGCTTTAGCAGACTAATTTGCATATATATAGCAAGTATTATATTATGTAGCCTAGGATGACCTCAAATTTGTAATCCTCCTGTTTAAGGCTCCCCAGCACTGGGATTACAGGCATTTGCCATCATATTCATGTCTTGAAATGAGAGATAACCCTGGTTTACCTAGATGGGCATTGTCTAGACATAATTTTCTCTCTGTCCCTTCCCTCCCCTCTTTCCTTCCCTCCCTTCTTTCTCTATCCCTTCCACTTTCTCACTGTCCATCCCATTTGTCTCCCTCTTCACCCTCTGTGTGTGTACCTCCCTAAGGACATACATAGTGACAGAATTGGATACCATATGTACTTCTCTAGTGTCTATACACACATATATGCATATACCTACCATGTAATACATCATATATATCTACACAGTGGTATCCTTGCTGAAATAAATGATAGCCTCACTTAAAAGACTGGGCTCATATTGTGGACCCTTTTAACATCTCATTATGCATTTGTGTGTTTTATTTTTGCTATAAGATCAGCATCTATTGGAAGGTGTCTAATACTTAGCCATGGCCATATCTAGAACAGAAATATCTTAGATAATTGTGCATAAGAGGACCTTCTATTTTCATCTGGAGAGGTTTATAGACCATTCAATAACAACTGATGAAAAAAGAGGCCATAAATTTGAAGGAGATTGGGAGGGGTATATGAGCTATTTGGAGGAAAGAAGGGGAGGGAAAAATGTTGTAATTAAAACATGGTCACAAAAATAAATAAATAAATAAATAAATAAACAAACAACAACAGCAAATTTAGTTAGTAATGAATCTAAAGAGAGTTAAGGAACTGACTGACCAAGTCCCTGGCTTTCTTTTTCTTGAGCAGTCAGACATTAGTCACTAATATCACACAGGACCAAAAGCATTGGCTTAGTCTGTGCCACTAAGACTCACTTTGTTGTTAGAATAGCTCTATCATTGGGTCATGGGGCATACTGAAACATCAAACATTGCTTACTGAATTGGAGTAACATTCAGTGTTCAAGATGATGCTTGTTCAACATGGGCTTCAATTTTTAAAGTTGAAAGCAGAGATTTAGGGACAATTTCCAAAGGAGAAATAAATAGTTCAAATACAAGATGGTGGTGACAATCCTTTGACTCTAAACACCTACATTTTGGAGTCTGTTGTGCTACTTTACAATGCCAAATCCTCTAAAATATTCTTTTCTTATTCTTTCTGCTTTTTAGGTCATACTCTCCCAGAATGGGCATGAGCAGCCTGAAATTGCTGAAATATGTCCTGTTTGTCTTTAACTTGCTCTTTTGGGTAAGTGTTTCCTTGGAATATGTCTGAAATAAAACCCCTCCATCCCAGTTAACCTGTCCTTTCTTTTCAGCTAAAGAATGTAGTATAGAATGTGAACTGTGCACACCTTGAGACTATCTGGAACATGTCATGTATATATAAAGAAACAATAATTTCCTTCCCGCCTGCCTTTTTGTCTCTATAAGCCTACAAAACTGAAAGGTGCCAGGTGGTGGTGGCGCACACCTATAATCCCAGCACTCGGGAGGCAGAGGTAGATGGATCTCTGAGTTCGAGGCCAGCCTGGTCTACAAGAGTTAGCTCCAGAAGAGGCACCAAAGTTACAGAGAAACCTTATCTCAAAAAACAAAACAAAATAAAAAAAAAACCCAAAACAACAACAACAACAAAACAACTGAAAGGTATCAGTGCAGTCAATAATGGAGCTGCCAACTCTCTCTGGGGGCTTTAGGACAATATTGCAAATAGCTGGCATTTATAAATGAGAAATGGACTATAATTTCTGTGTTAAACTCTACACTCTCCTACTCCCTGACCGCATGGAAGAATATTGACAGACAGAGAAATAATATGGAAGTTCTGGTTTTTGGAAAGAACCTCAGAGATGAATTCTGCAGTATCTAGGCTATTTTTATTCTCACCAATAGTGTAAAAAGGTTCCTTTTTTCTGTCATCCTGGTCAGCATTTGTTGTTGATAATTATCTTTGATAGCTATTCGACAGAATGAAATGGGATCTCTATATAGCTTTGATAGTTGAAGATGTTGAACATTTTTCCATATTCTTATTGGCCATTTATATTTCATTCTTTTAAAATTGCTTATTTCCATTGTTCATTTGTCACTTGTACATTTTTTAATTCTCTTTTTTTCCAGTTTTGGAATTCCAGATAATCTAGCAATTTACTACTCATTTTGTCTCCGAAAGAAAAAATAATCACCTTATTACAAAGATATTTGAACCCTATGCTTTTCACAGGATCTTTCACAACAGCTAAATTGTTGATGCAGATTAGACATCCATCAGCAGAGAATAAAGAGTAGATGGTATATGTATATAGTAGAGTTTTTCTTAGACATAAAGGAGGATGGAATTATGAAGAAAATAGATGAAAATTGAGGTTATTCTGAGTGAAGTAAGTCAGCACCATATAGAAAAGGATTGCATCTTCTCCTTCATGTGTGGAAGTCAAGAAAAATAAAGAAAGACATTTAGCTAAAAGGGGACTATTAGGAGTGAGGAGGGGGAAAATGGAAAAGAAAAATCACTTAAAGATTAATAGAGTGGTGAATATGATCAAAGTACATAATATACTTGATGCACAGACCGAAAAATGAAACATTTTGTATAATTAATTTGAATTAATAAAACTGTTAAGTTTCAGACACATATGTCCACGTTAGTAATTTAACATGAAAAAAAGAGATATTTAAGGAGGTTTTACTGTACTGAATTCAGCAGCTGCATTTCATCTGTAAGATTAATCTGTACTCATGTATTTATGAGACTATTCTTATATATATATACATATATATTCTTTATTCTAGATATTAGTACACACATATATGTACTTATATATAGAATAATATATATGTACTTATATGTAGTAAAAGTATTAGATCCCTCATAGGTCTGACATTATCTTGGCATCTGAATATGTGTTGTAAAAAATGCAAGTGTTACTTCATATGCAGAAGCTGTTATTTCTATATGATAATGGGAAACTGAGTAAAGAGGCAAGTCTCAAGTGAGCCCAACCCCCCTCCCCTCAGATGATTCTGATCTCAAGGATATGAGAATATAAGTTAGGAGATACTTAAGAACCCCAGTAGCACATACACTGAGAGAAACAATAAATGGGACCTCCTGAAAGTGACTGAGAAGCTTCTGCAAAGCAAAGGACATGGTCAACAAATCAAAATGGCAGCCTACTGAATGGGAAAAGATCTTTACCAACTCCACATCAGACAGAGGGTTGATCTCCAAAATATACAAAGAACTCAGGAAATTGGTCATCAAAAGAACAAATAGTCCAATAAAAAATGGAGTACAGACCTAAACAGAGAGCTCTCAACAGAGGAATCTAAAATGGCTGAAAGACACTTAAAGAAATGCTCAACATCCTTAGCCATCAGAGAAATGCAAATCAAAACAATGCTGAGATTCCATCTTATACCTGTAAGCATGGTCAAGATCAAAAGCACTGATGACAGCTTATGCTGGAGAGGACGTAGGGTAAATGGAACACTTCTGCATTGCTGGTGGGAGTTCAAACTGGTACAGCTGCTTTGAATCTCAGCATGGTGATTTTTCAAAAAATTAGGCATACACCCAGCAATACCACTTTTGGGTATAATACCACTAGGACATGTGCTCAACTATGTTCATAGCAACATTATTTGTCACAGAACCTGGAAACAACCTCGATAAAAGAATGGATAAAGAAGATGTGGTACATTTATACAATGGAGTACTACACAGCAGAAAAAATAATGACATCTTAAAATTGGTGGGTAAATGGATGGATATAGAAAATATCATGTTGAGTGAGGTAACCCAGACCCAGAAAGACAAATATCATATGTACTCTTTTATAAGTGACTTTTAGATATAAAGCAAACAAAAACCAGCCTACAGTTTACAATCCCAGAGAACCTAGACAGCAAAGAGGACCTTAAGAGAGACATACATTGATCTAATCTGCATGGGAAGTAGAAAAACACAAGATCTCCTGAGTAAATAGGGAGTGTGGGGATCATGAGAGAGGGTAGAAGGGGAGGGGGAGGAGAGGAGGGGTGTGGAGAAAAACATATAACACAATAGAAACAATTAAAAAAAACAAAGAATTACGTTCACCTTAGAATGCTATGGAATTTTTCCTTTCAGGTCTGTGGCTGCTGCATTTTGGGTTTTGGTATCTACCTCCTGGTCCAAAACACCTATGGAGTGCTCTTCCGTAACCTTCCCTTCCTGACACTGGGCAATGTACTCGTCATTGTGGGCTCCATTATCATGGTGGTTGCCTTCTTGGGCTGCATGGGCTCAATCAAGGAAAACAAGTGCCTGCTTATGTCGGTGAGTCCTGTGATATTCTGAGTTGGGATAGATGACGGCTCAAGTCCAGGATGATATGTTTCATGGTAGATTACTTTTGGATGATATATATAATTAAAGAACTGAGAGGGATAAGAAAGTAGTGGTGGTGCATGCCTTTAGTTCCAGCACTCAGGAGGCAGAAGCAGAGGGATCTCTGAGTGTGAGGCCAGCCTAGTCTACAGATCAAGTTCCAGGATAGCCAGAGCTACACAAAGAAGCCTTGTTTTGGAAAAAGAAAAGCAGAGAGGTAATAAGCACAGAATTTTTGCTTACTTACTGCTTTTCTTCATTCTTTTACAACTTAGATGACAGTTTAGAGAATAATGTATCCACAATGAGTTGAGCCCATAACAGTCAAAATAAAAGCAACCCCGGAAGACATCTCCACTGGCCAGACTGACCTAGATAATTCCTCAATTAAAGTTCCTTTCCCTTTTGATTCTAGGTTGTGCCAAGTTTACAATAAAAACCAACCAACACAGACCATCGCTTGTCAATTTCATATATACACACATCACTTTGAACCATAACTTTCTTGCCCCATATGTGTCATGTTAATATCAGGATATAAAATATAGTCCAATTCCAGTAATCTCCTAAAGCCTTTCAAAATTTCCAAGACATCAAGATCCAAGATCTTTGAAATCTGAGCGTAGTAATTAACTGATGAAAAATAATGAGTAGGTTCTTCTGAACATAGTGACCCTCCCCAACGATGTAGAATTCTTCCTTAACTCATGCACAAAGTAGCCTTCATAGTAGGAGTTACACAATTTAGGTAAGGAGCTTGAATACAAGAAAAAGAGAGATTTGTAGCAGTTCCCTGTCAAATAATCAGCCTGAGGAATATTATCAGGCTTAGATTTTACCTACTGGCATTGGAGTAGAAAAGATACAATTTTTCTAGTGTACTAAGGAAAGAGGTTGATATGTTTGCATCCCAGTTATCCTTTAAGTCATGTGTTCAATCTTCTCTTGCAGATCAACACTTAAACTAGAGCCAAGATCAACAACAATAACAATAATTATGATGATGATGATAATTATTATTATTATCAAACAGTTCTTTGTCAGACATAAAATGATAGTAAACATCAGAGACAGGACAAAACAAATGATTTAAGCAGTCAAAATAGTTGTTTAAGTTTTTTAAAAGGTGAAGAATAGTTGTAACTGTCCAAGCTTTTTCATAAATGTCATGTAGGGATCACAATTCTAAATTTGGAGACGAAAATTTGACTTAGAATTATGATTAGGCTCCTTCTTTCTCTCTGTTCAGATTCCCTCCCAGCCTTCATCATCATCCACCTTTTCTCTTGATCTAGACTTGATCTGATATATGGGATCAGGACCCAAACTCATGCTTTAACATCCTGGCTTTTTGTACAACTGTTTCACTAGGCTGATGCTAAAACATTGACTCAACAATGTTAGAATAAAGTCAGAGGGTAGCTAATCTGCCCTCTAAAGTCCAACTGTAGGAAAAGAACACATATTGTTCCTAAAACAAGAGAGGGCTTATAAAGCCCTGGGGAGGCAGGAGCAGTTCCCATGCATGATTGTGTGTGTGTGTGTGTGTGTGTGTGTGTGTGTGTGTGTGCGTGCGCACGCGCATATGCCCACATGTGTAGACCTGTTTTCCCCCATGTCAGAGAGAGGTAGATCAGAAGTGGGGATTAATGTTCTGATCATGTCTCTGCTTTGTCACAGTTCTTTGTTCTGCTGCTGATTATTCTCCTTGCTGAGGTGGCCTTAGCCATCCTGCTCTTTGTGTATGAGCAAAAGGTAAGTTATGAAGAACATGGCTTGCTCTCTTCTTACTAAGATGGGGAATACATGGTGGAGAAGTTAGTAAAACCAAATTAGTAGTAAATCATACAAATGAAGTAGGAGGATGAGAGTTAATTGCAGTTGAGGTGAGAAAAAATGTCATGAAGATTGTATTTGAATGATGCCTTGAAAGATAACGAGAGAAAATGAAGCAAGCTTGTCTTCTTGTCTTCCTCCTGTCTACTTCTCTCCATGGAGTTGGTAGTCTTCTCAGTAAGGTTTGACCTTGGCTTTGTATCATCCTTCCTTTGTAACTATAGTTATGGAAGGATAAAAGTCCATCCATTATGTATATCTTCCTTCAAAACCATATAACCTTCAGCTTGTTTTAACATATAGCCTCCCTCATCTCACTTCCCTAGTTCTGGCTCCTTGGGCAGGGGTATATATTATTTGGTCCACTAGAAATCTCTTATTTCTTAAATACATCTTGTTTTTACTATGTCTTCTCTGATGAAATATGATTTATCACAGCTGAGCAACTTAGTGGCTGAGGGCCTGAATGACAGCATTCAACATTATCACACAGACAACAGCACCATGGCAGCCTGGGACTTCATCCAGTCACATGTAAGTACATAAAGAATCCTGCTCAGATGAGTTAAGCTGAATTCCAAGGTTTGGTTCCCAGAAACCAGCATCTCTTTCCTAATGTTTCAGACTCAAAGATCATCAGTTCTAAAGTCCAAAGTATTGTCTGTGCTCTCGTAGGCAGAGAACTATAGGGGTTAATCCAACTGGTTCAAATTTTTCTGCATTCTATTTCATTCTTTATCTACTGACATAAGATCATCGCTTTATCCCTAACAGGATGAAAAGAAGACCCGAATAAATCATATTGGATTAGTTTATTTACTTTTATTCCCCAGTCACCAAAATTATTACATTTTATTACCTAGCCCTCTAGTGTCACGTCCCTCATGCTTCTCCTTACCCACAAACATACATCAACTTTCCATTCTTTCCTTAGAATGCCGAGGGACAAACATGCGCTAGCGAGCCTTGTACGGGCGTGATATACGTCCCAAGAGTACCATCATCACCCATGATGGATTAATATGGAATAGACGATAGTAACATAGGAAATTACAACATAAAATAAAGGGGAGGACTTGGAAAAATTACAACCTCTATCTTTCAAACTCTTCATTTGTTTCATTTCAGATTCGAAGTCCCTTTTAATCTTCAGACACATAACAAAGTAAAAACAAAACAAGAGGAGTAAATCTCTTGATACATGTCACCAGCTTTATATCAACATTGTCACTGCCACCTCATTCAATCACCAAACATTTTGCTAGAAAATTCTAAAGAAAATGAAATATTGAACCTGATAGCATCTCACCCAATATTACTAAAGGGTCTGGCTCAGTGGTTAAAAGCACTTATTGCTTTGCTAGAAGATCTGGGTTTTGTTAGAGCACCAATCCAGTGACTCACAACCTCCTGGAACTCCAACTCCAAAGGCTCTGAAGCCCTTTCCTGCTTCTACATGCATTTGCATGGGCTTAGTGAAGATACACATAAATAAATTAATAAATGAATCCTCAAATATAGTATATATATTTATATGCAAACTACAGTCTTCATTCTAATTATTCTAATTTTCTCAAAAAATTTCAACTGATTTGAACAAATCAAGATATAAGAAGGTCCAAATGTTGCATTTAAATGAAATGTCTCAAAATTTCTTTTATTCTATAATAGTGTTTTTATATGTGTATGTGAACAAAAATTAGGTTATTTGTCCTAGAGATTTTACCATTTTCTGTATCTGACTGGTTTATTCTCTCAGGTATTTTGATGGCAGGAAATCTGCTTCCCAGAAGGACTGTGAATCTAGAGTCTTGATGAAGTCTCACTCTCTCCTTCTTTTTCTCTTCTTTTAAAATAACGTTTTTTTTTATTAATTGAGAATTTCATACAATATATTCTGATCATATCTACCCCTCAACTCTTCCCAGATCTGCTCCCACTTCTCTACTCACTCAAGTTTGTATCCTCATTTTATTGATAAACCCACTGAGTTCAGTTAGTGATACCTATATACTTTTGAGTGAGGTCATCCCATCGGAGTGAAGTTCACCTACCAGATATTATGCCTTATATCCTTAAAAACTGCTTATCCTTCCGGAAGTAATCAGTTGCCAATAACTCTTCAACTAGGGACGGAACTTCCTGGCCATTCTACCCTTTATGTTTGTTCTATTTTTGTGAATACTGTCACAATTACTGTGAGTTCCTATGTGAAACTGCCCTGTTGTGCCCAGGAAATGCTGTTCCTTATAGTGAATTAGTCTCCACTGCCTCTAGCTCTTACAACTTTCTGCTCATTCATTCTTTCACACAGATCTCTCAATCCTGGGAGGAGATGGTGTAATATAGATGTCAGCTTAGGACTGAGTACCCCATTTTCTACACATCGACCAACTGTGGGTTTCTGTGATAATTACTAAATCTACTAAAGAAAGGAACTTCCCTGATGATGGCTAAGTGATGCACTCATCTATGGGTATAGTAATAAGTCATTAGAAACTGATTTGATATTTTGTCCATTTTAGCAAAACCATTCTAGTAGGTTCTCCCCAAGGGCCTATAGACTATCCAGTCACAGATTATTGGCCCTCAAAATGGTGTCAAGTATGTGTCCTATCTTATGTAAGATGCCTTAAATCCAAGCAGAAAGTTAATGGTTACTCCCGTGGCATCTGGGTCATGATAGTACTAGTAGTAGTGTCTTGCTAGGCTGATCATTATTACAACTCTCAGGATCACAAGTCTGTAAGATTTATGGCCACATTTCTCCTCTGGTAGCACATACAGAACTGCCCAACACTATGAAATCTAGCCAGTACGTATCAAACTTCCAAATCAATCCAGCTTGATCTCTCCATGTTCTGTGACTCACATATGTTGGAGTTTCATCAATAGGGTCTTATACCAAGTTCTGGAGTGTAACTGGAGATATTGGCAGTAGCTTGTAATATGTAAGGGTCTATAGAACCCCAATGGCCAGCATCCCCAACAAAGGTTTATTTGTTAGTCTGGGGTCTAGTAGGGGCATTATTGTTCAATTACAGATAACGTCACTTAAATTGTTTATATTAAATTGTATATATATATATATATATATATATATATATATATATATGGAAACATACTGCTGCAAAAGTTTCCATATATCTTTTTCCAGATCTCTTTAGTGTTAGTTACCCCTCCTAGTATTCTATCCCTTACCCTGCCCTCCTATCCCCCAACTCACTTAACTATTCCCATTCCATTTATCTCCTTTATATGACAGAATTCTATCTAACTCCTCTATCTTGAGAGCATCCCCATACCCTTTTACCAGTTTCCTGGCATCTATCTATACTCCAATTTAAACAAATAATCTAAACGTTCAAAGTTAGCATCCACATATAAGAGAAAAAACATGAAATTTATGTTTCTGAGTCTAGGCTATTGTACTCAGGATGATTGTCTCCACCTTTGTCCATTTACCGGAAATTTTCTAAATTTAACTTTTCTTAAGATGTGAATAATATTTCATTGTATAAATGTACTACATTTTCAATATCCATTCATCAATTGATGGACATTTAGAATGGCTACTGCAAATAGAATAGCAATAAAGGTGTATAAACAAGTGTCCCTTTAGTAGGACAACAGTGTCCTTTGGGTGTATGTCTAAGAATAGTATAGCTGGATCATAAATTTCTCCTAGATGTAAAACTACCATTCCTCTTTTCTCATCTAAGCAGGTATCTAAATATTAATCCAAGTTAATCCAGTTAAGAGACACAATGAAGAATCTTTTGTTATACTATTCTCTCTCTCTCTCTCTCTCTCTCTCTCTCTCTCTCTCTCTCTCTCTGCGTGTGTGTGTGTGTGTCTGTCTGTCTGTCTCTCTGTGTGTGGTAGTTTGTGTAAAACTTGTCCAGAGATTTTCAGTAATCTCAAGAATCAATGTGGTTAGCCTTAGTTCTGTGTTATAAGGCCTCCTGGGAAGAAAGTACTCAATAGATGAATATATAAGCCAAACATGTCCTTTGTATTCTGTGAAGATGTCTTCTATGAACAAAATGATATAATAGTCTGGGAACATTTAGTTCCAAAGAGGCTGCAGAAGTAGACCCATTCTGATTTTTTTTTTCTTCTGGAGTCAGATTTGAAAGACAAGCATACCTTTTGTATAAAGTTTAGGGTTCATTGTTTGTGTTGGTTTTTGCTAATTTTCTAATCATCATGTTTGGGGGACTTGTCTTTCAGCTGCATTGCTGTGGTGTAAATAGCACAAGTGATTGGACTGGTGGTCCACCATCTTCGTGCCCAACAGGTGCAGATGTTCAGGTAATTTTGTTAGCAATTTTCCTGTTACTGGCTCTTTTGTTCAAACTTAATTACATCAGAAACTGTTCCAAAGGACCTAAATCTTCCACCTAGAAACAGGGAATTTGGAACAACAATAACAAAAAGGAGCAGGGAAACGACACCCAGTAACTATAGAAGCCTCGAAAATCCAGAAGCAAGTTAATCCATTTAAGAGACACAATGAAGAATCTTTTGTTATACTATTCTCTCTCTCTCTCTCTCTCTCTCTCTCTCTCTCTCTCTCTCTCTCTCTCTCTGTGTGTGTGTGTGTGTGTGTGTAAAACTTGTCCAGAGATGTTTCTAGACAATTATTCAACAAAAGATAGTTCTCACTTTTAAAGTATAATTTACATGATTAGGGTAGAATAGCTTGTTAGGTAACTGCTTGTCTTCTCTCTCTCCCTGGAGATGGCAGATGCATTTCCTTTGTGAGATGAGTTAAAGGCATGTGGAGGAATGAGAGTTTTGGAAAAGGAGTTTTTAGAAACCACCTTTCCTCTTATTTTTGGGCTCTCTTCATCTAGAGGAAAACAGAGTCATCTTCCAATAAACCAAATCCCTAAGACCTTGTCTTGACCACATATTACCTTTTCCTGAGTTTGGAAATCTATAAAAATATTCAGGTCCAAGGGAAAAAAAAACACAGGACAACCAGCAGTCAACAACTCTGGAATTTTATGAGGTTATGATGCTGATTCCTGAAGCAAATATTGAGATATACCTTGATCCAAAGATCACAACACCTATAATCCCATATGTTATTTTTTAGATCAGCTCTTAGTGTCCAAAGAAAATAAGGACATGTATTTTTTACTTACTTCTTGGGTGCTAGTTTAACTCTGTTAAGAGCTAAGTCTTCTGTGTTAAGTGCAAGTATACTGATAATATCAGTAGGAAGGCCTCTGACAATGTTCTCTATGTCTGTCTCTTTAAAAATTAAAGGGAAATAAAACTGCAACATCTGATGTCAGTCTCTGTACTAAATAAATACAAACTGCCATCCCAGATAACCTTCCTGATAAAGTTGACATATTGGATGATACCATTCATGCCTATAATTTTTCCCCTAGGGTTGCTACAATAAAGCAAAACAGTGGTTTCACTCCAATTTCTTATATATTGGAATCATTACCATCTGTGTATGTGTGATACAGGTAAGAGCTTCATCCTGGGATCCCCACAAGGATTAAATGAGTTAAAACACGCAGTCTTAGAACAGTACCGGGAAAGAAAAATGACGCAATAAATGTCACGTTATTCATGAGTTTCTCTATTCAAGGAGCAAATTATTATATTATCAACTCAACTTGAAACATACAGAAAAATGGTTATATGAATATATATCAAATTAATGTGCCCTTAGAGATACAAATGAGTCACAGTCAAATTAGGAGTGCTAAGCAGATTTCCACATTAGTTGCTCACTTAGCTGGTCTGGAAAAGATTATGATAAAATAGTTACTTTGAAAAATTGACCTTTTATGTTAAGAAGGAAGTAATGATGGAAATTATAATTATTTTCCCTTTCTGCTTGTACTTGGTTTGACAAGTGAATGGGAAATTTTGTTGTTTTGTTGTGTGATATTCATAAAATTATTTTCTACCAAAGTATTGAGCATATTATACTTTATTTAAGACCTACTTAAGTGCTAAAGATTAAATGACCTTTTCTCTGCTTGGAAGCAAAAGAAACCTAAGGCTTGGACAGAGCTGACTTATTTTTCTTATACTGTTCAATAAAGACAACTGGCTATACATTACTCATCTGTGACTTTTTTATTTTTTTTTTGGATTTTCGAGACAGGGTTTCTCTGTAGCTTTTTGGTTCCTGTCCTGGAACTAGCTCTTGTAGACCAGGCTGGCTCGAACTCACAGAGATCCGCCTGCCTCTGCCTCCTGAGTGCTGGGATTAAAGGCTTGCGCCACCACCGCCCGGCTCATCTGTGACTTCTTAAGAAGATAAAAATGTTTCCAAAACCTTCCACATTTCCATCATACTGCAATTGCTCCAATTTTCTTCCTAATGCTGTCCTTAATCATAAAGAGAGAAATTCCTTAGAAGGGAGTGATGCCGGAGAGTGGTCACAAGGTGATAGAAATCTTGCTTTTCTGTGTTACCAATCCTAGTATCTGTGGGAGAAATGTTTTCTCTTTTGAAGACCTCACATTTTCTCAATTCTTTTCACAGGTGCTGGGGATGTCCTTTGCTCTGACACTGAACTGCCAGATTGACAAAACCAGCCAGGCCTTAGGGCTCTGACTTGCAATTGCCCTGAGCTTAAAAGACTTATCTCTCTCTGGAAAACCAAAACACCCATAGCATGAGTCCCCAAACAATTACCTGCCTGCCTGGTATTTTGATTCCTCTTATCTCTCCCTTGAGTGGGTTCCTGCTTTATATACCCAAGGAAGAGAATATTGGTCATGAACTTCCCATCTCAAGCAGAAGAAAATCATTCACCACCTGATAGCAGTAACCATATCCCTTAAAGATGGGGAAACATAACTGGGTGAATTTTTTGGACATGAGAGGCCAAGAGAACCTATAGCTCTTGTGACCTAAGATCCACGAATGGCTGCCGGTGTGGATATAGCTCAGAATACTGACCTAACATATGTGAGCCCCTGAATTTAGCCCTGAGTACTACAAGATAGGCCCACGTTTAAGTGTTAGATTCTTAACAATTGTCAAATCAGTCTCTAGCCTCTGAATCATGCTATTTTCACTCTGTAAGAGACATACTGAAGGGAATTTTGGAGTCAGATTTACTGGATAATTGACGTACCCCATTTCCTTTTGAACATAGACTTTGAAAATAGGAATGTTACAGAGATCTCTCTTCAAAGGGAAATGTTTCCATTTCTTTGTTAAAATATCTTATTGATTTCTGTTATATCCATCCATTCAGAAATGACTATCTAATATTCCTGCCCTATCTTCATTCAGTCTTAAAGCTTTTGAATTATGTAGCCATGGAGAACAGCCCAGAAGTACTAATATCTCCACTGTGTTAGCTGGTAATCATATTCATGTTTATATTGTTATTTCTTTACAAAATAAGGTTCTGTTAAGGTACTGCTTTAACACTTAAATAAACAAAATAGTTTATGATCACTGTTAATCAAACATTTGACTCATTTTGATATTTCTGCTAGAAAGCCAAATGTATTAGTTAGCTATTTCTGTATAACAACTTAGTCCAAGATATAATGGTTAAGAACCTACACACATTTGTTTTATTTACTGATTCATTTAAAGACAGGCTTTTACCATGCAGCCCAGGATGTCTTAGATGTTCTATAGAGCTGAAATTGGCACCAAACTCATGATCATTCTACTTATACCTTCTGTATATTAGAATCACAGGTATGTGCCACTATGTTTAGTCAGGACAAACTTTTATTATCTGATGGTTTTAGGTAATCAGGAATTGGAAGTAGCTGTGAAAAATGATTATAGATTGCTGTTTGTAGCATAACAAAGACTAAGAGGTCAGTCATTCGTGTCTTCAGTCATCTCAAGTTTCACTGGAAGAGAAATCCACTGCATGTTCTCACAAGAAGCCTTGAATCATGGCCCCGCATACTTTTACATGGATAGATTCCTGAATAAGGAGACAGCTAAGACATAGAATGAGATACAACAACCAAAATAGAAGCCACAGACATTTTATAATCTAAACTAAAAGTTCTGCCACTAGTTATTCTTAGAACTGGTTCAAAACATTAATTCCCACTCATGAGTAGAGAAGATTATGCAAGGGTGTCACTACTTGTTGTATAAGAGATTGCTAACTATTTCCTCATTCTTGTTGTGTCTAGAAGCTAGTATACTTGTCTATATGATAGCTATATTTTATAATGTAAAATTAGAAAATGTATAATATAATGCCTAATGTACAGAACTCAAAGGACTAAAAAGAAAAGAACTGGTTTCTGTTGTAAAAGTTTTCTTTAGGATCGCCAAGCTCCCTTTAAGAAAAATGGCTATTTTAATGGTCTTCTATAGGGCAAATATCTATTGGCATTTTCTGAGGTACATAAAGAAGAGAAGAGACACTTCTTTGTTCAAACTGACACTTAGTGGTGCCATCACTTGGTAAGCTTCCCTACCTAGTGCCTGAGTTTTGTTCTTAGCTCTGTTTTGATCTTCACTCCCAATAACCTGTCGCAGAATTCTAAGAATTTGCCTACCAAGTATTACCAAACTCATCTATCTCGTCATCTAAGTCCTTCCACATTCTTTCAATAGTCTGTTTTCTGCAGTCGTAGTAGCCAACAAAGGCCCAATCTAACTATTTCTCACACAGAAGCTCATTATATGTGAAAAACATAAATGTAATTATATATATTTTTAATAAATACAACTTTTCATTGACTGTTGTTTTGAGAACAAAATTTAGATACTTTATCTGCCGCATCCTACAGGCAACATCCCATTCTTAAGCTCTCAGATCTCAACCTCTGACATTTTAACTCTTTGTATTTTGTGATTTTATTACTGATGTTTAACAAGTTTTATTAGACTTTTCTGTATCTGTTGCATTTTCTAGTGGTTCCCTTTGTTTGGATAACTCTTAACCTTTCCTTGCTGTAAAGATTTCCCTTATCTCTGAAGGTTTACAAATTTTTAAGTCTTTCCATGTATGAGCTACCATTTGAGTCTCTTTCATTTGAGTGAGAGCTGATCTTTGTTTTTGCTGCCTACAATTGAATCCAAGGCCTCCTGTATGCTCACTCAATGTTCTGCCATTACTGCTTCCCCATTTGGACCTTGGTTTTTAAATCACTTTTTTCCCTTCCTTCCCTCTCCCTTTCTCTCTCTCTCTCTCTCTCTCTCTCTCTCTCCCTCTCTCTCCCTCCCCTCCCCCTCTCTCTTTCTCTTTCTGGACAGGGTTTCTCTGCATAGCCCTGGCTGTACTAGAACTAGCTCTGTACACCAGGCTGGTCTTGAACTCACAGAGATCCACTGTATCTGTTTACTGAGTGCTGGGATTAAAGGTGTGTATCATCACAGTTCAGCTTTGAATCACTTTTAAGGAGGAGGACACAACAGAATACAGACAAATTCCCATTTAAATTTTCACACAATGTCTCTTTTATGTGCTTTTGTAACTACTTGAGGCATGATTAATAAAAGTTCAGAGACAAAAATTTGGACTTCAACCTGAAGGTCAGAAAAGCAAAACAGCCAGCCACTAGCTCTTACCTCTACCCAGTTGAAAATGGCATATCTTGCCTCCAGGAATCTCAGAATGAGACTAAGACTGAGAGCTGTCTCTTCCTGTTTTAATTCCTCTCTAGTTCTGAGATAAAGGCGTGTACCACTACTGCCTGGTTTCTATGGAAAGTTGGTGTGGCTACTGGGATTAAAGGTGTGTGTCATTGCTGCCTATGTGGCTGTTTTACTTTTCTGATCATTAGGCAAGCTTTTGTTTATCAAAATACAAATGAAATGCCACTACATGTACTCCTAAAAAGTTCACAGATATTATTACATCTTTAAGTCTTGGTAGAACTTATCACCTTGTTTGAGATATATTCTTACCCTGTAGCCCAGACTGGCCTTGTTCTCAGTTTGTGGTTCAGGTTAGCCTTGAACTCAGTATGTAGTGCAGGCTGGCCTATAATTCAGCAGTGATTCTCCTGCTTGGCTTCCTAAGTGTTGGATTTATAAGTATGTGCCATCATTACTGACACGTTATCACATTTTAATTATTTTTGTCTTTGTTAATCACTATCTTGATCAAATTAGAAAAGGAAGTGAAAATACAAATTAACTATAAGTAAAAATTAGACCATCTTCAAAGAATTATTAGGAATTGTCAAGAGAGAACAATCCTCATAAAAGACGGAAAGTAGTTTTTGTTGCCAGATTTAAGACTTGGACTGAGAAAGAAGAACAAAGTGAAGATAAAGGCTGAGAACATGAAGGAGAGGAGGTCAGGAGGTGACATGTTCAATTAAAATGTAGTCCAAGCTGTCACAAAATCTTTCAAGGAACATTGAGAGGGGACACACTTTTCTTCAGTTATGAGGCAAATACAACTTTGATATTAACAAAAAAATTAGAAGCCAATTTCATTTATAAGCATAGACACAAAAATCTTAAAAAAAAGAAAATGACAAAAAATGTAGTAGTAAGGAAATGCATTTATTTTAGGAATGCATAATAGTATAAAAATCAATAAATTAAATATATTAATCAAGTAATGTGATCAGGCACCATGGCATAGTCCCCAATCTCGGCACTCAGGAGGCAGAGGCAGGCTAATCAATGCATCCTGATACAGTGTGCTTCAGGCTAGCTTGGGCTGCAGAGCAAGATCGTCTGAAACCAAAACAAAGCACAGCACAACAAAAGGGGTGGAGCGATTCCAAAGGAAAAAACTCAACATACATCGCTTTTTAGTAAATATCATGAAGTCAGAAAGAGAAAGTTTTCTATTTTTAGTTCTCAATTTCGGTTATTAGGTCTCTATTTTCTAAATATTAATTCCTTTTTATGCATTTCAATTATCTGGACATTTTCTGATTTCTTCTCTTTTCCTTCATTTTTTTCTTCAGTTAATTATTGTAAATTCTTACCCTATACTGAAATAACCTCTGAGTCTATTTCTATTTTCAACGTTTTCCTTTGAATGAACTAATGTGTCTTGGTGCTTTCCTTGACCACCAAATATTATATATATATATATATATATATATATATATATATATATATATAGAAGAAGTCTTCATATGATGTTATTTTTCTTTATGGGTGTTCATATTATTCATTAATAGTCATTTAGAATAGGATATCTTAATCTAGTCTGAGATCATAATATCTTCCTTCCTTCCTTCCTTCCTTCCTTCCTTCTTCTCTTCCTTCCTTCCTTGCTTTCTTCCTTTCTGGTTACTCAAGACAGGGTTTTTCAGTGTAGCTTTGGTGCCTGTCCTGGAACTAGCTTTTGTAGACCAGGCTGACCTCAAACTCACAGAGATCCACCTGCCTCTGTCACCAGAGTGCTGGGATTAAAGGCGTGCACCACCACCACCTGGCCAGAATATGTTTCTTTCAGTGAAGCTCTCACTATGACTATTTCATCTCCATTACTATGTCAGAACACTGAGGATTTCATATGACTGAAACTGTGCATTCTTGAGGCCTGCTAACTAATTTGCCTGAACTGAAACCCTTTTGTTATTAAATGCTACTGGGAAATTTTACTTTGACTTTCCAAGGTTCATTTTTCCCCTTAGAATTTAACAAATACGTTAAAGTAGAACCCCAGTGAATATTGATTCAATACTGTAACTTCTTCTTCTTGCTGGAAAACTGTCCCTGAAGTTTATATTTGTCCCCCAGGCCTATATAGCCCCAAAGTTTGGGCTCTGTAGGCAGAGGCTGCTTGTTCATTCTGGGCCACCCAGACCCAAGATAATCACACAGAAACTATATTAATTGTAATACTGTTTGGCAATAGCTTAAGAATATTTCTAGCTAGCTTGTATATGTTAAATTAACTCATTTCTATTATTTTATATTTTTCCACAAGGCTTGTAGTTTACTGGTAAGGTTCCAGGGCCTCTGTCTCCTTCAGCAATTACATGGTGTCTCTCTGACTGCACCTACTCTCTCTCTACATCTCTGGATTTCCTGCCTGGCCTTTCTTTGTTAATAAAACATATTCACAGCATACATCACCTCCCACATCAGGGTCTTCTAAGGAGTGTTCAGCTGTTGGTGTGCACCAATGATGGTCAAATGTTCAGAGTACAACATGGACGTGAAATACCAGACTCCCACTCAACAGTACCCTGATTTCTGGAATTTTTATATCGTACAATGATAACTGTCCTATCTGGTCTTTGAAATCACCTTATAACTATAACTACTATTGGCAGGATTGTAATCTGATACAACTTTTTATTAATCATCATTGAAGAGTAGAAGCCACCAACTGACTTTTAAAGGATGATAATATATGTGACATACTCTATTTAAGCATCAAACTAAATCATGATTTATTGATGACTTTCTCTGTGGGACCAGGAGTAAGACCATCAGGCTGTGATAAAGTACTTGCCTGAAATGTAAGCAGCTCTAGATAAAAAAAGAAAATAAG